AGAACTGGTTCCTACAGCGTCTGCTCTGACCCCTACATGCATCGCTAGCCTCTCTTAACACCACAGGCCAAAGGCAAATCTTTAACACATGATTTCAGGACACTCATCAGTACGACAGCAAAGAGAGAGAGCCCTTCCTCACAGGCACTAAAATACAGAAATGATGGCAGGTTTAGGAAGCCACCAGCTTGCAAGGGTGCCATCTGTTTTGGCCAAGGACCATCAGTTTAAGTTGTCACCCTTGTTACTCTGGGTTTGAGCTGGACAAGCCAGTGCTGGGCAAGCAAGGGTGGGCGTGGGAGAAACAGCCAAAGCACAAGCCCAGGTGTCACTGCTTTCGAAGGAGCCGATGCCTTCCATGGAGACGCCTAGTATGTTGGTTTCTTTTCTCATCATTGTGAAGAACCAGATGGAAGCAACTTATAGGAGACAGGCTTTATTTAGTTGTTGATTTCCTAATTTTAACTCCTGGTGAGGGTTCTGCTACTTCACAGCCTGTGATAGGGTGGGCAGAGTGGGGAGAAAAGAGAGACAGGGAGGGCCAGGCTCCCAACAGCCCAGCTTCCTTCCATAGGCCCCATCTCCTCTGGGGTCCACCACCTCCCAGCAGCTTCTCAGGCCCCAGACCATATTTTCAGCACCTGGATCTTTCAGGGGTATCAAGATAAACTACAATACAGATCAAAGAAGAGATGGAAGATTGAAAATAACAGAAAATACTTTCTCAACCTTCCTTCAATACGGTGCCTCATGTTGTAGTGACTCCCAATCGTAAAATTATTTTGTTGCTACTTCATAACTGTAATTTTGCTACTGTTATGAATTGTAAACATCTGATATGCAGGATATCTGATGTGACCCCTGTGAAAGGGTCATTCAATCCCTTCCAAGGGGCATTAGGACCCACAGGTTGAAGATCACTGCTTTAGACAAGACTGGGAGACAGAGGTGACATTCAGCAGGAGGGCACAGATGGACACAGCCGAAGAGACTCCATGAGCAGGTGGAGGCCCCATGGTTGACTGGGCTCCCATCTCCGCTATGCTCTGCCTTCTGAAATTTTCACAATAAAACGTAATCAGGAAAAAAAATGTTAAAGTTAAAAGAGTGTCCAGCTCCTCCCATAAGAAGCTGGGGACTTAATATAATAATAAATAGTGATAATAAAGAGCCTACTGTCTGCTTCTTCAAGTTGGGATTTGCCCAGGTGGGATGTCTAGCCCTACTGGAAAGTGGTCATGGATGGTTCGTGTATAAATTGCGGTCTTGACGAGGGCTTCAGATCTAGCTTTGAAAATGTCCCTTTCAAAAATAAAAAAATCCCTTTCGGGACACTTGCTTATCTCAGAACCTACACAGAGGATATTATCAAATAGCGTGCCTCAACACAGGGAGGAGAGGGGAGGTAGGTCAGAGCTAGCTGCCACCTTGAGTCTGTGGGTTCAAACCCCACCACGTGCACAAGCAAAGTTGGACAATAATATTGGGCAACATTGCCATTGATGAGGCAGTTCCACAGAGGCAATCAAGACCTTCAGTGAGATGGTGTACAGCCCAACAGACTGAAGAAAAGGAGCAGAGCTGGGGCCGCAGCAAGCCCCACCGTCCCTTTGAGAGTGCAGAGACTGAGTCACACGGGAAACACTGCACCTGAGCTGTCCCAGCCAGCATGATGTAAGCAAAGGGTGCCATGCGATGGTCACAGCCCCCAGAGGCACTGCTGTGGGGCTGGGCTCAGCTAAAAATGTTGGAAATGGCACGCTGCGGTGTTTAGATGGTCTGGGGTTTGCTCTCTGGACCAGTCCCAACTGCCTACGCCTTTTAATCGTTGGACCCCGCTAGCGTAAACGAACTAGCTCTCAATCTTTGCAGTGTGCAAAGTGTCTTTGCTCCGAGTTCTAAAACTTAGGCCATGTGACTCACAGTGAGAAGCCGGTGGTGCCCCTGGAGACAGCACAGAAAAGTCTGGTTTCAGAATGAGGTTTGGAAACTGCCAGCACTATTCTGAGAGAGCACATGTGCACTGGAGCGTCAGCCAGTGGTGGCCGGACGTGACTGAAGGGACCCTTCCCTTCTTCCCTGCCGTCTCCCAGAGAACCTGGGCTTTGTTTGGCCGGCGCTTATGCACAGAGCATTGTAAGTGTTGGCAAAGATGGCATGCGAGACTCAGGACAGCCATTCAGTTTACACATCCCAGCTCCAGTGGCAGAAGGCCCAGCAACCCCAGACAGTTTCCCCACACAGGCCCAGGCCCCAGACAGCCCTCAGTGAGGCAGTAGAGTCCAGCTCCAACAGGCTCAGATCGGTGAGGAGGGGAAATGGCCCAGAAATTTCATAAACCCCAAGCTTGCCCTGTTCCCATATGGAGACAGAATGTTCCTGGCAATGGGTTCCACCTGTCACTCCTTTGTCCCAGCTGTGGTTTTACTACTGTTCATTAACACTAGCTATGCTGGGTGATGGTGGAGCATGCATTTAATCCCAGCACTCGGGAGGCAGAGGCAGGCGGATCTCTGTGAGTTCGAGACCAGCCTGGTCTACAGAGCTAGTTCCAGGACAGGCTCCAAAGCCACAGAGAAACCCTGTCTCGAAAAACCAAAAATAAATAAATAAATAAATAAATAAATAAATAAATAAATAAATAACACTAGCTATGAAAACCTGCCATGTAGGACTGGGGTTCCCTCAAACACCACCCTTTAGCCCATCTGTCATATATCACATTCCTAGGCACATCATTCTGGGAAAACAGCATCAGAGTATGTGTACATGTGTATGTATGTACACGCATGTATGTGCATGTATGTATATGTGCATGTGTATTCATGTGCCCCCACAGCTGCTGGTGCTTCTCCTTTGACCTCTGAACCCTGGCTATGCAGCCATCCTCCACTGGATGGGCAGTGCATTGCTGCCAGCCTCCTGTTGCCATTCATGAGCTTCCAGTGACGGACTTTCCTGGTCTCAAGGGTCAGTATTGGGTAGATTGTCCCCCAAAATGGCTCTGGGCAGCCACAAGCTCCAGCAGGATGCTCTTATCTCCTAGATCACCTGCAGCCTGTCTCGGGGTCATGCTCGGAGATTGACCCTGATGGGTGACATTGGTTGACATTGTTCAGTTTCCTTCCTTCCTTCCTTCCTTCCTTCCTTCCTTCCTTCCTTCCTTCCTTCCTTCCTTCCTTCCTTCCTCCCTTCCCTTCCCTCCTTCTCTCCCTTCCCTTCCCTTCCCTTCCCTTCCCTTCCCTTCCCTTCCCTTCCCTTCCCTCCTTCTCTGTCTCCCTCTTCCTGTGTCTTTTTTCACCCTTTTGTCCTGGATATTGAGCCCAGGGCCTTGTGAATGCCAAGCACCACCACCCTTACCCCCACCCCAGTTTCCAGACTGTATTTCCCCCCACCCATGCTCTCCAGGGTCTCACTATACAGCCCAGGCTGGCTGGGGCTCATGGTCTCCTACTTTAGCCTCTTATGCACTGGGATCGCTATATGTGCCATTTTGTTTCTCAGAGCTGAGGATGAACCCCAGAGCCCTACCCGTGCCTGGGCGCCGAGCCACGCTGCAGCTCTCCTCTGGCCATTTCGAGCTACATAACGAATGACTGTGAACCTTAGCCTGCTACACAACAGAACCACAGAACCACCCAGCTGAAACGGGGACCTTCTGACCAAGCTGTCCCTGTCCTCCTGCCCATCACCCTCCATAGCCTCTGATGACTTGATTTTCTCTGGAGTTGTAAGATTCCTGTGCTCTGTATTCCATACAGGAGTGAGAATACATATGGCTTTGTCTCTCCAGGATTGACTTCTTTTTCTATTTAAATACTTTCAATTTTTAATTTTTACATGTATAGGTGTCTTGTCTGCATGTGTATCTGTGCATCCCATGTGTATCTGGGGTCCATGGAGCCCATAAGAGGGTATTAGATCCCCTGGAACTGGAGTCACAGATATTTGTGAGCTACCATGTGGGTGCTGGGAGTTGAACCTGGCTCTTCAAAGGAGGTCTTAATCACTGGGCCTTCACTCTAGGCCATGAATTCTTCTTCTTCTTCTGTTTTTTTTTCTTTCTTTTCTTTCCCTTTTTCTTTCTTTCTTTTATTCAAGGCACTGTTTGTCTACATAACCCAGGCTGTTCTGGAACTAGCTCTGTAGACCAGGCTAGCCTCGAACTTGGAGATCTAAGTGCTGGGGTGAAAGGCGTGAGTCATCACATCCAGCCTGAGGGTCTCCAGTTCCGTTCATGTTGGGTGACACAAATGGCGGGATTTCCTTCTCTTTTGAGGATGGATAGAATCCCGCTGTTTACACACACTCTGGTTCTTATCCACTCATCCACTGATGATGTGAAGATTGATTCTATATCTGGGCTCCTATGAACAGTACTGCCATGGACTTGGGAGAGCAATTGTTGGGCTTTCTTTCCCTGCAGGATCCTGAAGACCTGGGAATGCATAGAAATGAAGTCACAACACAGGATCATCAGGGCTGTGGCATTGATTTTCCTGTGTAGCTTGTTGGCAGAGTCATGCTGTGCTGAGAACTTGCTGTAGGAATAGGCACCTAATGGCCTGAGCAGTCACAGATGGCTTTCTGGTCCAGGTGTGGTGGAGCACACCTACAATCCCAACAGTCTTGAACCTGAGACAGAATTTTGAGTTCAAGTTAGTTCTGGGCGACAAGAGCTGTTTGGGCAGCCTAGCCTGGAGAGTGGGCAGTGAACAGGAACCAGGCCCCTGAGAGGTGGGCCAGGGACAATCCAGAAGTGCCCAAGTCCTGTCGTCTCACAGCCAGGTCAGGCTAAGCCCCCCCCCCCCGTGCTGAGCCGACAGGATCAGGTCACCCACCTGAACTCCGTAGACTGAGGCGCAGGCGCAGGTCAGCAGGGTGGCTTATTTACATGCCCAGGTCGAGGGGAAAACCCAGGAAGTGTGGCCTAGGCCTAACAAAATCTCAGGCTAATAATAAACGGCCTGAGTAATGAGTAGCGTGGGCCAGGACAGGCAGGAGGCTGGAGCAGTGGCACAGGAGCGTGGTGAGTAGCCAGCTGTGGTGGGTGAGGGCCAAGGAGGTGTTCTGGGGGCTGGGGATCCAGCAGTGTCACCCCAGGTACAAGCCAGGGCTACCCAACTTTGGGACAGCCCCGTTCCTGTACACAGGAGAGGTCCCCAGGTTCAGGTTTTGCGTGCCAGGGGTTATGGGTCAGCCAGACATATAGGGGCCTTCTTTTTTTGCACCCGCGTGCTCCAGGTTTTCTCCTAGGGCGGCTGGATGACTTCGAATCTGGTAGATATGAGACGCCCCAGGAGTCGGCGCTCACATCTCTGTCCCCACTTAGCTGTCGTGGATTTCTAAGAATCTTAAACAGCACAGGTGTTGAGCAAGAAGTGCCTATGGTGTCCTCGGTGGCTAAGTTCAGCCCAGGTCCTTTGGGGGCCCACGAGAGAGACTGGGTTCTGTGTTTCAACCTCTCCCTGTCCCCATTCTGCCTTCTCGTTTTCTTTGACGATTGTTGACAGAGCAGGCCTGTTTACACGTTGCGCTCCTGGAGTCTTAAGGGGTTTCCTCTAAGACTCCTCATCAGGAAGGACTCGCTGCTCACGGCGGCTCTACCTGTCCGCACACCCAGACTCGGCTCAGGCAGGCCCTTGCTAAAAATTTCCTCTCTGTCCAGCAACCATGTCCACCAAGGACGCCAAGACATAAGTTTCTCAGAGAAACCCATGGGGCAGTAACCAGGGCCACCTTGACCAAAGAGGAAATGCCAACGGACCTGGGACCAGGAGTTAGGGATCAGCTAGAATGTGCTAGAACCCACAGCAACTTCGGTGCTGCGGTGAAGGTTAATACCGGTCAAGAGTTCAAGTTACCGCTGGTCATACACTTGCCTTGGCCTCGGATGAGCCGCTTCTCTTCAACTACAAAATGGTTCTCAAAACCACGAACCTGTTTTCCACCTTTCAGAGCCTCTTGAAGAGTCACAAACAAAGGCTCTGGGAAGTTAAAAATAACAGCAACAAAAAATTTTCCCAACTTAAAAATATTTTAATATTTCTTATATTTGTGCCACCATGAAATAGGTATCTATCCTTTCTGCTCTTAGTTCCTCTATATCAAAAGCTAAGACCATTTCACATGAAATTAAAAATAGAAAACCACTGGCCAGGTGCAGTGGTGCACTTCTTTAATCCCAGCACTCAGGAGGCAGAAGTAAGTGGATCTCTGTGAGTTTGAGGCCAGCTTGGTCTACATAGTGAGTTTTAGGACAGCCAGGGTTACATACATAGTAAGACCCTAGCTTGAAAAAAAAAAAAAAACCAATGACAATGTTAATAATAATAATAGAAAGCCATTAAAATGAAAGTAACCACCTTATTTTTTTTAAAAAAAATTGTTTTGCTCAAATAGAAACATGTTTTGCATGAAAACGAAATAAACCACAAGTACTTGGTTTAATACAAAAAGTTGTAGCTTGGCCCTCACCGTGTTCTTAAAACTGCCCAGGTGTTTCATCCTAATGGCCGCATGGGACTGCTTGCTCACGGTAGCCTCTGACTGGCATCAAGGAAGACTAGAGTCTTTCCTTCCTCTTTCAAGGTATTCACAATAGCAGCCAAACATGTGTGTCCAGTTTTCAAAAGGTGGGAACTGACGGATGCGAGAGTTCAAAGTTGCCTTCCTTGATGCCTGGAGTGAGGGGTGAAGAAATCCATCAGTTTGGAGCATGGGACAGAAGCACCTGTGGCTGCGATTTGCCCGCTTTGCCCATCTTAGCGAGTGACCTCACGTTCCTTGGTAAAGGTGCCCGCAGTACCACACTAGATACACTAGGTCTTTCTGTGTGATGCAAGCAGCTGTCTTAGGTTTCAGACTCATCTGTCACAGCGGTCTTCCAAGGAGCAGCACTGGCCGTCACGTCGGGAAGCCTTTAGGAACTGGAAGTCCTGCTGACTCTTGGGCTTCGGGGTACAGGAGAGCTTCTGTGTTGGTCTGAGCCCAGTGTACAGGTCTGGTTTCTGAGAGCAATTTCCCCTTCCCTGCTATTCACCAGTAGAGCTGTCTTCTCCAGCCTCCTTGCTGCCTGGACCGCCGTCATCCTTGGGGGGTCTTTTGCCCATCCTAGGGGCTGGGTGGTGCTTCTGGACTTTACATAGATGTGGGTGGCGGGTGAGAAAGAAGGGTGGACAGCATTTGCCCTCTGTCAACCTGCGTCTCCCTATCTGACCCAGTGGCTGTGGTGGCTCCAGACCTTTAGTGGGTCATGGAGTCTCTCAAGGTGGCCTGGGCATCTAACCCACTCCACAGGGAGACCAGTAGCTCCACTTAAAGCAAATGATTTTGTGATTTTTGTGTCACAGTTGCGTAGCCACCACAATACCCCCAAAAGAAACCCTGTCAACCTTCCCTTCTCCCACCTCCAGCCTCAGACGACAACTAATCCATCCCCCATCTCTGGAGCTTTGAGTATCTGGGCTGTTTCGTAATCAGCATTGTCGCTCAGTGTATGCCGTGTCTTCAATTCCCTCTAGTTCATGTGTTTTCACAGGTCACCCATGGAATATCGCGTTTTAGGGATAGACTGCATTTCTTATCCATCCATTGGATGACCTCATTTGGGTGGCTGCTAGTCTCTGCAGACAGCGGACAATGCTTTTGTGAAAGTGTGTTTAGATATTGGGTGGATCCATTCTTTAGGATAGTCAGCTGTCTAGATGAGGAATCGCTGGCTGGCACGGTGACTCTGGTGAATGCCTTAGCTTGCCAAGGCACTTGACAAAGTGGCCACAACACAGAAACACTGTCAAATCCCATTTAATGCACAGGGTCCTCAGTGACTGTCCTTGTCCCCTGTCTTCTCACTGTAGCCGCCCCAGAAGGAGATAGAGACTCTCGCTGGTTCAGTTTGTTTTTCTCCAGTGCTGAGCTGGGCATCTTTCTCTGAGTTTGTTGCTCTTCATGTGTATTTTTGGGGAAATGTCTATTTAACTCTTTAGCCCATTTTTTTTTTAAGTTTCAAAGACATAACCCTTGGTCTTTGATCAGTTTTGTTTTTTAGTGGCATTGGTTAAAGATTTAACTTCATTTTTTTTTGCATGTGTCTATCCAGCATTCTCTTCAAGACTGATTGCAAAACATCTAAAATGTACGACATTCTAATCTGAACCATAGCCATTGTTCATTGAAAGACTGGGTTTTGCCCCATTGTATGCTCATGATAGGCCTGTGAAGAAGCCATCTGCTCGTGCCTACAAAGGTTTGTTTGTGCTCCCCATCCGGCTGCACTGGCCAGACCCCTGTCACCCCTGTCCACACTGGTGCTACACGGCTGGCTGTGGCAGCTCTGTGCTGTTTATAGCCAGGAAGTATGAGTCCTCTAGCTTCTCCATTCCTTTTAAGATTATTTTGACTGCTCAGTTTCTTGAAATTCCATTTGATCTTTTAGGTTAACCTTTTCTGTTTTTTAAAAGTTGTTAGGATTCTGTTGTCGACTATATGATTAGTAAATTGTTTAGGGCCATATTATAGCCTTCTTAAGTCTTCCAGTCTGTGGACACAGGTGTCTTTTGACTTATTTATGTAATTTCTTTCCATGGTATTCTATAGATTTTGGCATACACTTCTTTTACTTCATTGGTTAAATTTCCTAAGTATTTTATTTCTTTTTGTGTTATTATAAGTTATTGTTCCTTAATTTCCTTTAAGATTGTTCTTTGCAAGTCTATGAAAATTCAATGGCTTTTGATTGTTGATTTTTTAAGAATCTTCTAACTATGTTTTTATCAGTTCTAACAGTTTTGTGGTCCTTTTTCCTATAAGATCACATCATCTGAGGACAGAGGTGGACTTACCTTTTCTCACTCCAATTTGGATACCTCTATTTAGTAGTATCATTATTACTTTGCCTAAGTGCCAGAGTTAGGGTAGCCCGTTACTCTAATTTCATCTGTAGCCAGCAACCAAGTCCACAGATACATGTTCACCAAGGATGCCAGTACATAAAGTTTCCCAGAGACTTAGATGAGGCTTTGGCCAAAGGCCACCTTGACCCAAAAGAAAATACCACAGGACTTGGGACTGGGAGTTGGGAATGAGGCCGAATGTGTAGTTGACCCAGTACCATGCTGAGCAGAAGAGGGCAAGGGGTACAGTTTTGTCTCATTCCTGATCTTACATAAAAACTTTTTAGTTTTTCCCCATAAGCACGTTATTGTCTGCAAAATCTTTTGCCTATGGCCTTTCTTATGCAAAAGTTTTGTTTTTAACCCTAGTTTGTCACACCTGGTATTTTCTTTTTTTTTTTTTAATATTTATTTATTTATTTATTATGTATACAATATTCTGTCTTTATGTCTGCAGGCCAGAAGAGGGCACCAAACCCCATTACAGATGGTTGTGAGCCACCATGTGGTTGCTGGGAATTGAACTCAGTACCTTTGGAAGAGCAGGCAATGCTCTTAACCTCTGAGCCATCTCTCCAGCCCACACCTGGTATTTTCTTGTTTTTGTTTTGTTTAATCAGAAAAGGTGGTGAATTCTTCAGAGGCCTTTTCTGCAACCTTTGAAATGACTGTATGGTTTCCTTCTTAATTCTATCAATGCTGTACACGGAACTGATGGTTTTTTGTAGACTGAATGCCTGCAGCCGTCTAGGAACAATCCCCTTTGATGGTGGTAACTAATGCAAGGCTGTTGGCTGTGCTGACATGTTGAGGAACTTGTACCTGTAGTCATGGACCTATCCGTCTGGGCTTTTTCTTTCAATGTCTCTTTGGGGCTTGCCAGACGACGTATTCTGTCTGATAATAATCGTGAGTTTGCGTCTGCTCTTGGAGCACTATGTGTATAAAGTGTCTTGCTCTGTGCTTTTACTTTAGATCTTCTGTGTCCTTTGATCTGAGTGCTGGGATTGGGGTGTGGCTAAGGAGGAGACCATCTAGTGCTCTAGTCCCTGGGCTCATCGGAAACACCACCACAAACAAAAACAAATCCTCTATAAATAGCATGTAGATGAATCTTGTGGGTTTGTGCAAATCTGACTGCCCATTTCCGCCTTTAAATAAGAGAGTTCAGATAGTTTATATGTAATACTTTTTCTGATAAAGATTTATTTCTGCTGTTTATATATTGCTTCCACTTTATTTATTTTGTGCATGGATGTATGTATGTGTGGGAACTTCTGTGCCACGAACAGTAGGTGGAGATCGGAAGACTTTTTGTGGGAGCTGATTGTCTCCTACTATATGGGGTCAGGTGATTGAGCTCAGGTTGTCAGGATTGGTAGTAGACACCTATACCCACTGAGTCATGGCACTGCCCACCCTCCTTTATGTAGATTTTTTATTTATTTTCTTAGCGATTATCTTAAAGAGTAAAATTAACAAATTGATCTTGTGATACCTTAATTTGAATATCTACTTAGTTTCATTAATATGCAAAACTCTGTTCCTAAAACTCTCTGCCCTTTTCCTTTTATGTTGCTATTGTTACATATTTTCTCTTTGAACACTGAATGACTATTAACATAGGTTTTTAATAATTGTTTTATGTGCTGTCTATTAAATTATGTAGGAAAACAGGAATTTCAACTCATAACAAGAATGCAATAATTCTTGCCTTTATAAAAGTTTATCTTGGCTGACCTCGTGGGACAAGCCCATGATCCCAGGTACCAAGAAGCTGAGGCAGCAAGATTGCAAGTTTAAGGCCCTCTCTTGGCTAGAGACGGGATTCAAGGACTACCTGGGCCAATTAAACAAGGCCTTGTCTCAAAGTAAAACAAAAGAGCTGGAGATGTTGCTCACTGGAAGAGTGTGTGCTTGGCACCTAGGAAAGCCTAGGTTCAGTCCTTAGTACCACATGCACTTGTGGGCACACACAAGCATACATACATACATACATACATACATACATACATACACACACAGAGACATACAGACAGACATACAGGCAGACAGACGAACACACACACACACACACACACACACACATTAATTTACAACCCAGGCATGGTGGCTGGTACATTCCTTTCCAGCATGCAGGAGGCAGAGACAGTGAGTTTGAGGTCAGCCTGGCCTACATAGAGAGTTCCAGGCCAGCTAGACCTACATAAGGAGACCTTGTCTCAAGAAAGAAAACAGAGGTTGGAGATACAGTTCAGCAGTTAAGAGCATTCGTTACTCTGCAAGAAGACTGGGCTTCAGGACCCACATGGCAACTCACAGCTTTTGGTAACTTCAGTTGCAGGGGCTCTGCAGGCATCAGGCATGCACATAGACACACCTACAGGCAAAATGCCCATATACATAAAAAGAAAGCAAAATAAAGCTAGTGTTTTCTGTGCAGGGACCTTTAGCAGTGTTCCCATCCTTTCTTGGGTTCAACAACACTGTCCAGTCACTTCCATTACAGTCAAGATCTCTGGCTGGTGGTGGCACACCCTTCATCCCAGCACTGGGTAGACAGAAGCAGGTGGATTAAGGACTCTCAGTAGCCTTTGGTACCAGCAATGTATTTCCTCAGATTTTGTTTTCTCATTTGTCTTCATTTCCCCTTCATTATTAAAAGGCAGTTTTGCTCAGGACACAACTTTGGGCTGACAGCTCTTTCCTTCCAGGCCTTTAGACCTTGTCCCATTCTTTCTCATCTCCATCAATTTTCCAGAAGGTCCCTTGTACATAACAAGTTGCCTTTCTTTTTCTTCCTAATGATGATGATGTTGTTGATGTGTATGGGGGTGGGGAGAGAGAGACTGTACATATATGTGAGGGCCCAGGTGCCATCGCAGGCATGTGGAGGTCGGAGGACGACTTGGCAGGATCAGTTATCTTCTTTAATTCCTACGGAGGTGCCAGAGGTCAGACTGAGGTTTCCAGGCTTGGGCAGTATAGGCATCTACCAGCTGGTCCATCTCCTGGCACACAGCTTATGTTTGTCTCATTACTTTCACAGTTCTCTTTATCCTCAGATTCTGTAATTTTATTGTAATGTTTCATGGCCCAGGTTTGAGGGTTTTTCTTTCCTTCCTCCTTCCCTCCATCCCCTCCTTCACTCCTTTCCTTCCCTCTCATCTCTCTCTCCTCTTTCCTTCCTCCCTTGCCTTTATGTATACTGGGCAAGTGCTCAAGCACTGAGCTGTATTCCGGCCTTTAAAATTGTTATTTATTTTATTTACCACTTTTAGTTTTGAGGTAGTCTTGCTAAGTTGGGGAGCCTGCCCCAGCCTCCCCAATGGCTGGATAGGCCTGCAGTAAGCCTGATGAGCTATGAGGCTGAGTATCTTCTCCAGTGCCTGTGGGTGATTCTGTCTTCTTTAGAGAAGTGTCTGCTAGCATTTTTTGTAAACCTTCGATAAGACTGAGGGTTCTTTGTTGAATAGTGAGCCACCTGAGTTCACCACAGTCTGGATGCTGGCTCTTATTGGTCCTTGTTGGGCTCCAGGTGAGCAGACATCCTCCTGCTCCAGTTCACACAGATTGAAACATAGCAAGAAAACTCCATGCAAAAGCAATCAAAACGATCTGAATATACCGCAAAGGAGCAGCAGCCATGGAGGGAAGAAGGCACTGGAGAGCCCCAGTTCAAGAGAAGGAGGAGTTTGGTTTCTTACGGACACGTCTCTGTTTTGATGGCTTAGATTAAGTGATATAAACATTTTTTTTCTATTGCATATGTCTCTTCCTATAATGCAACTGATTTTAATCATATGTGTGCCCAATTATGCATATACACAAACTGGTAAATAAGGGGTTGCTCCCTAAAAGTTGGATTGGCCTTGCTGTTCTTCCTATTGGTACATTAGGAATGTGTTTGAATAGGAAGTGAATTTGATGGTTGTTGGGGCAGAGCAACCTAAGTAATTCAGAGAGAGGTGTTGCTCCACACAGGCGGGGGTCTGAGGTTGGAAGGTGCCTTGTTTGAAGAGGGGTGGGTGTGTAGTGGCAGTTGGGCAGCCAGGAGACAGACTTGCCTAACCAAAACCAAGTTCCCTAGGACTAAATTATCCCTGTGTTTGCCTGCCTCAGTGACACCAGCACTGTGACTAGGGCCATCTTGCTCCAGTATAGCCAGGCTCCAGTGTGACTTAGTGTCGCTCTGCCCACTGTGACCTGGCATTGCTCTGCCTCACTGTGGTTGGGTATGCCCGTGGTGAACCTAAACAACGGTGGGAAGCAGCCACACCAATGAATGCCAAGGCCACAGTGAGGAGCAAGAAGTAGGTGCGTGGTAGTGGGAGACAGTAGGGTCCTTCTGAGGTCGTGCTCTGAGGCCAAGAAAGGAGGAGGAGGGTCACACGAGGCAAGTGGATTGCAGAGATGAAGGGGCCTTGGGCGGATGAGGCATCCTGTACTAGGGCTCAGTGATTAAGAGCACCTGCTGCTTTTGCAGAGGACCCAGGTTTGGTTTCAAGTACCAATAAAAAGCAGCCCATAATCACCTATATCATCAGTTATAGGAGATGCAACTCCCTCCCCCTCACCTCCACAGACACCGGGCATACATGTAGTATATATACATACATATATATATACACACACATAAAATTAAAATAAATAAATCTATTTTTAAAAGATACTTATTCACTCTGCATGAAGGTCTCCACACAGACCACTAGGCAGACAATGGTTGGTACCTAGGCACACACCTACACACATGCAGTCCAGCACACAAGTCTCACAGGCGTACAGGCCTACAGGCAGACATTCATAGACAAGCTGGAAAGGGTGAAGGCTAAAGCCTTTACTTCTGACCTCAAAGCATATTTGTAAAGAGTCACACAAAAATGAGATTCTGTCCAGGACAGTTAGAGAAGAGATGACATCATTGTTTGCTTCTGGGTTCCCCAGGCATCCAATGTCAGTCATTTTGTACTGACTCATAGACCCCGGTGTCTGACATTAGCCACCTCAGCCCGGGCTGGGTATCTAGATCAGTGCCAGGTTCTCGACACATAACCTGGTCCTTAGAGCCCTCTGTTTAGGCAGATGTCACGGAGGGTGAGGACATAAGCAGAGATCCTGGGGAGGAGGCCTAGGACACATGAAGAACAATGTGTGAACAGACAGGGTGTACCTCTGTTAGTGAGGGACCCTCGGAGAAGCCATTTTACAAATGGGAAATGGGGGGGGGGGAGAACCCAGCCCAGATCACAGCTGAGGGTGGAAGCCAGCTTTGTCTGCCCTCTGCCTGCTGAGACGGAGAACATCTCAGAGTGTGGCAGGAGAGGCCACCTGGGTTCTGCTTGGCCATCTGCTCTCTCTCTTAATGTTCCCTCTCTCCTTCCACAGGACAGGCGGCCAGGGCCGACTATGGCAAACTGCCCCAAAGAGCAGTACTGGGACTCCTTGACCAAAACCTGCATCTCCTGCGTCTCCTGCAGCCAGAGGAGCCAGCGCAGCTGTACAGACTTGTGCAGTGAGTTCTGAGCCATTCCCTTGCTTGCCCCAGAACCCCTCTGGCCCATCTGCAGCCAGGTGGAGGACAGGGATAGAGGGAGGAGATCTGCCATGTGGTCCATTTCCATTCAGCCTTTCAACTGTCTGTACACGTCCGTTCTTCCCTGCCTCGTGCCCTGGGCAACTGCCTACGCCCCTGTCTGAAAGCTTTTCCCAATCTTCCCTTCGCTTCTTTTCACTCAGCCTTCAGTGTCTTAGCATTCCTGGAGGACTTCTCTGTCACAAAGGAGGAACTAGTCCTCATCACGTAACCCTTCATCTCTATCTCCTTGAAATGTTTCTTCAAGTTTATTCTTTGGTCATTCGGTCAGTAAATACAATGTCTTTCCCCCTGCCTCCTCCTTTTCTGACAGGTCTACTGTGGGTCTCAGGCTAGTCTTGAACTTGAGATCTTCCTGCATCAGCCTCCTGAGTACTGGGATTACAGGCACGTAGCCCCTCCCCAGCTCTATTGTTGCTTTGAAACACTTTATTGTGGAAATTATCAAACACATAAATATGGGGATAGGTGAGCACAGCACACCCACCTGCACATCTTCGGAAATTATTAAGACTCTGCCTTTTCCTTTCCAATCTCGTTTTTTCCACTCAAGTATTTTTCAAATATTTACTGATTATCACTCGGTCTTAAAACTTAGCCTCTCTCTCTCTCTCTCTCTCTCTCTCTCTCTCTCTCTCTCTCTCTGTGTGTGTGTGTGTGTGTGTGCGTGTGTGAAGATAGTTTTGGTAGTTAGTTCTCTCCTTTCACCATGTGGGTCCTGGGGACCAAACTAGGTAATCAGTCTTATTGGCAAATACCTTTATCCACTGAGCAATCTTGTCCACACTGGTGGGCAAGATATTTAAATATTTAAAATATTTAAAGAAATCTAAAACTCCATTAGTCTTAAAGGGAGAAAGCTCGTGATTTGGAGGGAGGGTCTCAATCAATGTCCCTTGGCTCTTTATTTCTGGGTATGTGGTGAAGGCAGTTTATTGAGAAGCGAGTGGGTAGTATCTCCCCTTCCAGAGCGGACCTCCTCCAAGTAGGCTCTGCCCTGCTTTCCTGGCTGTGCAGCTGTGAATGGATCCGCTCACCCAGGAGATTAGCTTCCCTTCATCTGTTCTGCCCAGCGTCATTACCTGTGGAGGCTGCTGTGGTTCCCACGTGTTGCCAACAAATCACCACGGACTTTCCCAGCTCCCCTCCCCAGCTCTCCAAGGAGGGTTCTGGCATTTTCTCTTCTATTCCTTCCACTAACTTGAAGTGTGTTTCCCCTTCAGGAGATCTGAGAATGCAAAATAAACAATTTATATGACCATGTAATAATCTAGATGTTAATTTTAAAAGATACATAGAAGGGACTAGAGAGATGGAACCGCAGTTTAGAGCATTTGCTAATTTGCAGAGGACCCAGTCCTGCTCCTAGCACCCACACGGTGGCTCACAACCATCCCTAGGAGTCTCACACCCACTTCTGAACTCCACAGGCATAGGGCACTCGTGTGATGCAATGCATACATGCAGGCAAATCACTCAGGCACATAAAGTAAATAAATCTAAAAGATTTTAAATATATGTAGAAAACCACCACATTTGGAAACTAAGAAGTATGAGAAACTTATGGGTCATAGAAGAAACAACAACAATAAGAAACCAGATGCATCTTCAGCTAGGTACAAGAAGATACACATAAATATAGATATAAATATCCAAATGCGAATCATCTGGCTAGAGAGCACCCAGAGGGCCCAGCTGACCTGGAACTGCTGTTTTCACACTGAACCATATAGGGTCGGTTTGCTTCGTTCTGTCGCTTTGACATAGTTCTTCGTCAGACCCCAAGCTCCTGGAAGTCTCTAACACCCAGTAGCATTGTTCTTTGCATCTCCCAGAGTTCCTCAGTTGCCGCAGAGAGCATGGCAAGTACTACGACCATCTCCTGGGGGTCTGCATAAGCTGCAACTCCACCTGCACGCAGCACCCTCTGCAGTGTGCACACTTCTGTGAGAAAAAGGCCAGAAGCCAGATGAACCTCCAGCCCGAGCTCAGGAGACCACTGGCCGGGGAAGTGGAAGCCAGGCTAGGCAACTCAGGAAGGCACCAAGGAGCAGAACAAGGAGGCTTGCAGACAGGATCAGGTAAGCAGCCAGAGGTCAGCGCCTAAGGGATCCGAGGATCAGGATGGGGAGGAGGCCAGGCAGCAGGCTGCAAGAACGAGTGTCTTAGGTTCAAGAGGCCCAGGCTGGCGAATAGCCAGAAGCCAGGGAGGTCACTCCAGGGTAGGAAAATTATTGAGATGAAAATTTCAGAAGTCTCCGGGACATTTTGACGCACATACATGATGTATACTGCTCAAATCTGACACCCCAGGCACTGAACCAAGTCTTTGTAATGAAAATATTCCAAATCTCTTCAGATTTTCCCCTTGATTCTGTGCAGTACTGGGGCTGGACCCTGAGCCTCATGGTGCTATGGTCAAGCGGACAGCTGCTGAGCCAGGCACACATCCCTCTAGCGTCTGAGACCCCCAATACATTGGTGTGGCCTAACCAGCCTCCCAGGATTGTCCCTTTCTACCTAGCCGCTCTGAGCTTCTCATTTCATGGAATCAAACAGGGCCCAGCCCAGAGCAGGGTTGAAGAGAATGATTCCGTAGGGCCTGGTGTAGGCGGCAGACTTTTTTTTTTTTTTTTTTTTTGGTAAATGAAAGAATTAATCAGAGGGAAATGATGAAAACTCAGATAAACCTTCATGATGAAAAGTTGTTGATATTCATTGGTCTGAGAGGTGGTGCCCCAAGACCCAGAGGCACAGCTTCTGAACCTGCAGAGGAATGCAAATTGCGTGGTTTGGGGGCTGGCATAGCTAAGGGTACAGAAGAAAGAGCGGAGGGTATTGTCAGGGGCAGAACGAGGAAGTGAACTGCTTTTCGACATGATCTGTTTCTTGGAATGGCTGAGTGAAAGATAGGTCAGTTGCTTTTCTCTGACCCTCCAGGGGATTAGCTGCTTTATGGAAATTCCATGGTGGCAGATCTGGGACCTTGGGCTTCTTTTAGGGCGTCGCTTCTGCGTGAGTGGCAAGGGGGGAAATCTCCTTTAATCCCAGACCCTTTACATATGAGGGATGTAGGTGCTGTTTTCTATCTGGCTACTATCTGGTTGGGGGGAGCATTATCTGGGGGCTCTCAAGTCTGGGGTGACCCTAAAAGAAGCATTGTCTTTACTTCATCTTGTGTGGTGGAGCAGAGGAAGGCAATAATGCTATCTAGGAGAAACTGGGGGAAAAGTTGAAAAGACAGGATAACCTCTAAGTATGAGGATGTTAAGGAGGAAGGGGTGAGAGGGGAAGGGCCAGGATGGGCAGGAGCCAGGAGCCCACCCAGAGGAGGCTTGTTCCTGAGTTTTCTGTGTGGGGTCTTGAAGCAGTTTTGATCTGTTGGTGAAGAAGCAGCATTGTCCCTGGAGGAGCTGAAGGGTGTCGAGAGGATCTGGATGTAGGCTGTCCGCGAGCTGCAGAGACAGGGGGGTTGGCTGATGGAAAGAACCCCCCGTTTCTGCTGTCCTCCTTATAGTCCCTGGAAGAATGCCGAGTGACAAGAAGAGGGATGAGTTGGAAGGCCCTCTCTGCTCTTGTTTATGTAGGTGTAGAGACAGGATTAGAGTTCCATGGGTAGAAGGGGAATGGTGAGGTGGAGAGGCTAAGAGGAGAGATACCTGTTCAGCTACTGGACAAGCACACAGAGACATTTGTCCTGCAGCCCCCAAAGAGCCATGCTTTATAGGAAAAACAGGGACTAGAGTCAAGAATGGTTACTCGGTGTAGCATTCCCTCCGCAGGGCACTTTGGAAGAGCGTCCAGGGACATGGCAGTGAATGGCTTCAAGCTGACTAGGAAAACAAAGTTTATTTTAATTAATTGGTTCATTTTGAGCTAGGCAAAAGGTTCTGGTGTTGAGGAGACACTGGTAAGGTGAGGCAGGTTCTAGGAACCCACAGGCCGCAGAAGGGTCAGGTTTGAATGGGGACAGATCGTTAAGGATTTGATAGGATTTTCCTAGAGTAAGGAAGACAGGTTGTCCTCCTGTCCCCAGCAGTCTTAGGAACCAGAAGAGGATTCAGACAGATGGGTAGTGGAGGATAGCGCCAGGAGGCCTCTGTGAGGAAGTGCTTTGTGCCTGTGGAGCAAAGGTGGGGGGGTGGGTGAGCTGCACTGGAGGTTGGAAGGAACTGACAGGAGGGGTCGCAGGGAGGTGGGGTCTGCCAGCACATATGGGGGGGGGGCTGTGACGTCAGCTTGTTTCTGACTGGTAAGATGCCTTGAGCAGATGTTGGGGAGGAGCGAGTTTTCTAACGTCTCGCTAGAAGATGAGAGTACAAGCCCTTTAGGAAATCCCTCCCTACTGTTCCAAGGGTCCCCCAGTATCTTTCTGGGTGAAGCAGAAGCCTGAGGGTGGGGCAGGGCAAGCTTGATTAGCAGTTAGAGACTAATGAAGACACACCCAAAAGAGGGACAGAGGAGAAAACCTCTACAAGATAAAGGGGAGACTTTGGAGCCCCCAAATCCATCCTCTCCTCAAGAGCTAAGTTTTGGTTTTTAAGTTTTTGGAGGGTCTTTTTCTCCTAAGTTAGGGTCGGTCAATTTTGTTTTTGTTTTGTTTTGTGTGTTTGTTTTGTTTTTAAGCAGTGTACTTCTATCTAGTCCTGGCTTCCTAGAACTTGCTGTGTAGCTAGGCACACATCAAACTCGCAGAGATCCACCTGCCTCTGCTTCCCGAGTGCTGGGATTGAAGGTGTGTGCCACCATGATCAACAAGGATTGATTAGGATAGATTTGAACAAGGACAGGGTAGCTGATTGGCTCATAACTGTGGCCTCTCAATCTGGCTTTGAATCCATGTCGTAGGGCCAGTCCATCAGCAGGGGGCCCCACTGAGAAAAACCATTAGGCCTTTGTTTTAAGCTGCTAGGCTTTTGCCTCAGGTAAGGAAGAAGCTGGGCATCTTGGAAGTTCACCATCTTCACTACCTCATCTCAGCCCCTCTCTCTGTCTGCCTACCAGGGGGTCTGGCTAACTCTAGTCCCTCATCCCTCCACTCTCAGAGGTCCCCCAACTGCTGAGAGACTTGGAGGCTCAGACTGTTTAACGGCTTGTGGGCTGGCAAAGGGGTGATGTAGAATGGACGGCATTTAGAACCCCTCAGAGGAGGGTCCATCCAAGGGACCACAGTGTTTAACATCTGGCAAGGCTCTGGAACATCAGAGTGGTGAGAGTGTGTGTCCTTGGAGTGAGCTATGTGTGCACAGAGAATCCGCAGCACCAAGAGTGAGATCGCTAGTGTATCATAATTCTCACTGCGAGCCCAACTAAAATAGTTGGGCAGATTTGCCCTCATTAGGGGAAGTGGAGGGGCCAAAGATCACTTGGCAGGCTCTGTCGTAGGATCAGTGAGATGGATGGTTTCTTTGTTATCATCGCCCACTGTATGGTGTACATACATGGAGGAGACCACATTTAAGTTCAGAGGTCGGCCACTGGGTCTATTACAACTACGTGAAGAATGTTAAGAGGCAAAATTAAGGAGGAAAATGTCTCAAGGTCATGAGACAGTTTCGTTACTAAACAAAACATATGCCGAAGGACACAGTATCTGTACAATAAGCTGCTTGTTACATCAGACTCCAGATTGTATAAGGAGTGAATGCCTGAAAACTAGGAGAACTCGGTTAAAGTCAGCATCTAACTGACAACTTGAAGAAGAAATAGAACCGGGCGGGGGTGGTGCATGCCTTTAAATCCCAGCACTCAGGAGGCAGAAGCAGGTGAATCCTTGTGAGTTCGAGGCCAGCCTGGTCTACAAGGGCCAGTTCTAGAACAGCTAGGACTGTTACACAGGGAAACCCTGTCTCGAAAAAACGAAGAAGAAGAAGAAGAAGAAGAAGAAGAAGAAGAAGAAGAAGAAGAAGAAGAAGAAGAAGAAGAAGAAGAAGAAGAAGAAGAAGAAGAAGAAGAAGAAGAAGAAGAAGAAGAAGAAGAAGAGAGTCCAGATTGTCCACAATGTCTCATGAACACTACTACATGAGTATCCTGATTCATTTCCGCAAACCTGTCGGTGGGAGGTACAGAATGTCCAGCACAGACTGGTCAGTCCGTCGAGATAAGGCACAGATGAATGTCCCTGGGGGCCGGGTGAGGGAAGATGGGGAGGGAACATTAATGGGAGAGGGACAGGAAGTTTTTCATTGGAGACAGAAACAGTCTCAAATTAGGGGGTGGAGATGGTTGGTTGTGCAACATGGTTGTGAACGTGGTTAAAAAAGGAAAGGTACACAATTCACTCAGCGGTGAATGTGATGACTTACAGATTACTTCCCAGTACAAAGGTACTGACCCCCCTTTATCTTCTAGCCCCCCATCAAGGAACAGGAGAATTAAGGAAAGTCCAATACAAAAAGCACCTGGCACCCAGAATGGGCTGAGTTACCGCGGTGTTGCTATGCTTTCTCAGAGAGAAAACACTCCAGGCACTTAAGGGATCAATAAAGGGAAAACTGAGTAGTAGTGTGCGACTGATTCTGGCTAATGTACAAAAGGGAGCCGGCCCTGAACAGAAATACCCCCCTCTCCCCCAGCTTATATGGATTCAGGGCCCCAAGTCACACTTTGAGCAGTTATCCATTGTTCTACAGAGACAGAATTCCAAGATTTGGTTGTTTGGACAGATGGGGAGATTTACAGTGTAAAGTATTGTCATAGTTACCTGAGACAGATCAGCCTGCTTTTCCTAGGCAGCTGGGGTCCTCCTGCCTGCAGGCAGAATTCTGCTGGGCCTGATTAGAGGCACAGGATGAATTAACATTGCCCCCCCCCCGCCCTCACCCCTGCCTTCTAAACTGCCCGGAAGACGCAGTGTTCCGTTGTTAAACTTTACTTTTGTGGACTTAATGTTTTCTGAGCAAGTTTATTGATAACACCTTAATAAGTTTATTACTTCCACTTCTTCCTTCAAGGGAGTGGCTCCCCTCCCCCCTTTCCCTGGCACAGAGTATGTATGCCCTAGTGACTGCATTGCGGGACCCAGGGGATAGTTTGAGAGGAGCAATGAATGTCAGGAGCAGATAGCTTTGCCCTGGGACAAGGTCTTAGTCCCTCATTCAAAGCCCGAGGTTCAAGTCTTGAGCTGTGAAGTGTCCCACGCCCCCCACCCCTGCCATACCTGTGCCCGGGACTCCTTAGTCATCCCCCTGGTCCTGATGTCAAGTCCAGGCTCCCCGTGATGCTAGGAGAACTCATCCTCCTTGGACTGCCATCCTTGCAAACAAGAATGTGCACATCCATCCCTGGGTCTGTCTACTTCCAAAGCATATGGAGAAAACAGAACGGGCCAGCTCCAGAGAGGTCCAGCTTTAAGGTCTTGGAAAAATGTGCCATCTGTTTGGGGTGGGAGGAGCCAGTTCTCTCAATACTCAGCATACTCTCAATACTTGGGGCCAGGAAAGGAATCCTATGTCCTCACCAGCGATGAAGGCCTGGGGATGGCCATGTGTGTTGCTTGGGCCTAATGAGGTCAAAAGAAAGCCCATGATAGGGAGAGCACTTAGTCCTGGGATGAGGGAGGGTATCAGTAGCTACAGGCCTGAATATAACACTTTTGTGAGAAGGGGAAACTGGGGAGCGGGTGCACCCCTTGAACTCATGTTCTCTCTTGAAGCATCCACAGGACTGAGGGTGAGCAGCGACCAGTTGGCCCTTGTCTACTGCACACTGGGGCTTTGCCTCTGTGCCATCTTCTGCTGTTTCTTGGTGGCATTGGCCTGCTTCCTCCGGCGTAGAGAGCCGCTTCCTAAGCAGTGTTCAGGGCCACGTGTGTCCCAGGCAAAGTCTCCCCACCGTAAGTACAGAAAGCCAGGCCTCCTTCCCGGGCAAGCCCCAGCATACCTCTCCCCTTACCTACCCACCACTACCCCTCCTTCCGAGTGGACAGGTCCTGAGCCCACAGGAGAGAACTGGGCATCCTGAAGCATCTCAGCGAAGTCAGGTTCAAGCAGCAGGGCCAGGAGAAAGGGTGGGTGTCAGGTTGCTAGCTTCAGCTTTGACAGGCGATCCAGAAACGGGGGGCATCCAGGGGTGGGGGCTAGATGGTTTCTGGGTTCAGGGAGAAGTGAGCCCAGCCTTGACAGCCTGCTTGGGGGCACGCAGGACAAGAAGTCCTGGGGTGGCTGTAGAAACGCTGGGCTGCTGGACCAGGCAGTGTGGCACAGCCTCGGTGACCACGACACCCTCTCTGTCTCCTCAGGCCCCACGACAGAGGCTTGCAGTGAGGTGGCCTTGCCACCCCAGCCTGTCGAGACATGTAGCTTCTGCTTCCCGGAGCGCAGGTCGCCTACACAGGAGAGCACTCGCACGCTCGGGACTCTCGGCTTAGCAGGAACCGCTGCCCCGCAGCCCTGTGCGCGTGCATCGGTTGGCGTCGTGCGCGTGCCCATTGGAGATGCTGGTCCAGGAGCTTGACAGCCAGTGAAGAAGAAGACAATGAAGTGGATGGAGTGCAAGAGGAGGGGAGGGATGGAAAAGAGAAAGGAGGAAGAAGACAGGAGATAGGCAGCCTGGCTGCATCCACTCACAATGAAGCAACCACCCGTAGCGCCCACACCCCCAGTACCACCTGTGTCACGGTTTCCCAGACTTTAGGCAGAGCAGTGAACCTGTAAACTCCTCTTTAGTGGAGAACGATGGAGAGCGGCAGGCACCTGGAGCATCGTCCTCACAGTTCTTACAAAGAAGCGCCCTTCCCTAGGGCCTTAGGCAGATAACTGAGTGCAGTGTGTAGGTTTGTGAATAAAAGAATTTGTATGTGTGTGTGCAAATGCTGGGCCGTGTTGTGTGCATGTGTATCTGTATGAGTGGCATGTATATGTGCATGCACATGCATGTGTGTGAATTTGGTGTATGCAGGTAGTGTGTCCACATGTGCATGTGACCAATGTGATGTACCCAGGAAGGCGAGAGACTCCAGGTGAATGTCAGACGTCTAAAAGGATGATGGGTGTTTCCTGGACCTCACCACGAGTATGTTCAATTGCACCCTTTTTTAATGAGCACGTATACACTTATCCTTTTAGCTGCATTTAAACCTCCAGGTGCATAAAGCGTTTTCCCAGCAAGCTTAAGTGTGAAACTATATACAGTGAAATTTCACCCTCCCTACCTGGTACTTGGCAGACCTACCCGCAAGGGCACCCCTGCCCTCACCATCCACAGCTAGCAGGCTGTACAGGAGAAGGGCGTCCTTCACAGTATAACACTGATGACAGCTCTGGTAACATAAGGTGGCTGCCACAGAGTCTGGAAGCCTGCAGTCAAGGGGTCTGCAGAATTGGCTCTTCCTGAGGCTGCACACACCTAAGGCTGCACATACCTGAGGCTGTACATGCCCAAAGCTGCACATACCTGAGACTGCACACACCTGAGGCTGCACACACCTGAGGCTGCACACACCTGAGGTTGCACACATCTGAGGCTGCACATACCTGAGGCTGCACACACCTGAGGCTGCACATGTCTGAAGGTGCACATGCAAAATTTGTCTTTGGTTTCTCCTTGCCATTCTACACTCTGCCTTCTCTCTCCACTCTGTTTATTCTCCCTTTTAGATCTCATGTTATGATCCACCTAATGGCTTCATTTTGACTTCTCTGTCAAAACTCCAAATAAGGCCACATTCAAAGCACTAAGGGTTGGGATTTCAACATAATGAGTTTTGGGGGACAAATTCAACCCATGACGGAGACCCTGTGAGACCACCACTGCTTTATCTTTGTTGACAAATTGGCATCTAACAAGTTTTTGTCTGAGGCGTGTCTCACCAAGTACTAAGGCAGCCTGCATCAATAGCACGCCCACCATGATCAACTTCCTACAACAGGGTTGCTGGGAAGCCCCTGGCCCCTGCTACAGAGAGTCATGTGCTGACTGTGCGCTGAGGAACACACAGCACATGCTCAGAGACAGACATCAGTGCTCAGCTTGTCTGGGAGATGAACCTATTTCTAGTCTTTAAGATCTGTGGTTTTAAAATTCTGTTCATCCAAACCCAAGGGGCTGTGAGTGCAAAATGTTTCTGGGACTGAAGGCGAGAGGTGCCAGGACACTGGGTGCTGAGAGCCCAGTCTCGGCCTCAGTTGAAGACAATCTTAAGAGTATTTGGCCCACTTTTCAGTGGATCCTGTGTGTAATGTTGTTCCTTCTCTTTGTAAAGAAAGGGCTCTTTTGCCAACTTTATCTGTTTTGTTGGGTCAGCCTGAAGAATACAGCCTGATTCCACTTGCATGGTCCCTCTACCAACTTTTTTATTAGTATATATTAACTGAATAAAACCAGTTTTGCTGCAGCTTTTACAAGCTATACCATGTGCTTTGGTAGTCTCCCCAACCCCATAATCCTCTCATCTCCTTCTACTGGTCTTTTCTCTATATAATTCAGTACCTACCTCATTTCATGTCTTTAAAAAAATGTCTAGATTCTGTAAATGTGAGAAAATCTGGTGTTTGTTTTTCTTAACCGTATTCTCTTCAACACGATTTCTCATTGCAGCCATTGTCTTGAAGATGATAAAGTTTTATAAAAGGTGATAAAATTTTATTCTTAATTTACAACCTCTTCATTTCTCGATTTTTTTGGAACTTGTCCTGGAACTTACTTTGCAGACTAGGCTGGCCTCGAACTCACAGAGATCCGCCTACCTGTCTCCCGAGTGCTGGGATTAAAGGTGTGTACCACCACTGCTCGGCTTCATTTCTCGATTTTCTTATCTGGATTTCTGGACCAGCCTCCCTCAGCCTCTTTGATGATGCCTTTCTCCCCATCGTGGGAGGGTTCCTGCATAGGACCAGGTGTGCCAGACAGGGGTGTGCACCATGCGGTCTTCCTGTGGCTGCACCATAGGGCAGAAAGGGTCAGAGAAAGAACATCCTGGCCCTGAGAACAGAGCCAAGGAAGCACACCCTGCCCCTAACCAACTCAGGACTTGGAATCCAACCAATACCTGAGAACGAAGTCCAACCAATCTATGTGCTTTTCCCAAGTTCAGGACTTGGGGTCCTACCAATCCCCACCCAGTGCCTGTTCAGTTGGGAGCTGCCTTTTTTCACCCTGGCAGAAGCAGTCACCCTCCTGAATTCCTCCCTCCCAGTAATTTCTCGAGTGAGGTTTGTTATGCCCCGTGGCTATGCTATTCCCTGGCTCCCAATTCCATCAAACAGAGATGCTTCAGCAACCTCACTGGGAAAAGCCTCCCCTGCTGGAGCAGAGTCCTTACATTTTCATTAGGGAAACCTTTCCTGGAGCAAGGGCCTGTGATACTCTGCTGGGGAGCAGTCCCTGCTAGAACAGAGCTGTACCACTTGCGATGGGCTACCTTTCCCTTCAGGGCTGTAGGTTTCCCTGGCTTCCTACAGCCCGGGTACCTGTCTACCAGAGCTGTAACACTCTGCTGCACCCTCACACACCACCATTCTGCCAACTCTGCACCAGCCTGCCAGAGGCTTCTGTTCCCATCGCCTCACCTGCTAGCTGACTCAGGGAGAACTGGTAAGTGGAAGTGATGGGATGTCACGGCAGGCTTCATGCTGTAACTAGAAACCATTACGAAATGCTGGTGCCTCACAAGCCAGTGCAGCATCGTGTAGAGAACTCAGGTGATTATGAAACCTGATCACCATTAGAATTAGAAACTAACTCAAATTTGTTCTTATTTCTCTTATCTTAAAAAAAAATGATTTTTGTTTAAATGGGCTTTAAAAAACATTTGCTTTTTGTGGCTTTTACATCACACATCTCGATCCCATGCATCTCTCCGTCCCTTTGTTAAAGCCCTTTACACAGCTTTATGTTCATTGGTGTTTTGCCTGCATGTATGTCTGTGTGAGGGTGTCAGAAGTCCTGAAATTGGGAGTCAGGTGTGAGTCACCATATATATGCTGGGAACTGAACCCAGGTCCTCTGGAATGGCAGCTAGTGCTCTTAACTGCTAAGCCATCTCTCCAGGCCCCTCCTTTTTGGGGGGTTAGGGCTGGGGATTGAACCCACAATGTTATGCATACTAATGCACTTGCTCTACTACTTGAGTGTTAATCTGAGTCTTAGACCTTGAGGGTAGAAAACTTTTCCACCAGTGGTACCCAGCAGCTGTCCCATTTAATCTGTCGAAACTGCTACACAGTGAGGTTGAGGACTCTAAGGGGCACATTTCTCTGGACCATTTGATAAAAAGAGCATCCAAACAAGGAGGGCCAGAATTTCAGATCTCACTGGTTTCTGAGACAAAGGTCTGATCCAACCAGGTGAGCTCTGACCACCTGAGGCTGGGATGGGGAAGAGGCATCAGAACCCACCACACACCTCTGCTGGGGAGTGTTCCTGTCTCACTAATCCTCCTGCCCACAGAAGGAGGCAGTGTTTGTTTTGTGTTTTGAGCCAAGGTCTCGCTGTGTAACTCTGGCTAATCTGGAACTCACTCTGCAGACCAGACAGAGATCTTTCTGCCTCTGCCTCTCAAGTGCAGGGATTAAAGTGTGGCCCTATGCCTGGCAGGTAGGAGGGTTAAGCAGCTGATTCATTACAGAACAGGTGGAGCTCATGCTATCTCTACCCACAGGCAACCCATGGCTGCTACCCACCCTGTGGCTGCCTGTGTTAGGAACAGGGTCAGCAGTCAGTTTCAGAAGAAAATGCAGCTTTATTAGGATATAGGAAAGACTAAAGTCACCAGGGAGGAGACAGTCAAGCCCCTCAAAATGACAGGGGAGAAAGTGACAAATGTGTTGGTAATAAAATTTCTAACCACAATACAATCATTGGATTTTTTTCCCCCTCACATTTTATTTCAAAGCTATAATAAATGAAACAAGCCACTTGTCAAAAAGAAACAATGATTTTACACAAGGAAAAGCATACATACCAAGCCAAACACAAGAGCACTCAGGTTCACATGGTGTAGGTCGCTCAGGCCAGAGCCCAGCTTGGGGGGGGGGGGAGGACTCCTGGGATGAAGAGAGGAATTGCAGATCCCACCCCACCTCCTGAATTGAAGACATCGGAAGAGAGCTAGTTTGGTCTCCTGTGAGGCTGGTACCAGCGGTCATAGAAGAGGTCTGCTCACGATCTAGACTGGGGCTGGGTAACACAGTCCTGTGGTCACACACACTTCTCAACCATCTGGGCACCTATACTGGATGGTCCTTGGATGGGAAACCCTTTTCCTGCCCTGCTATCCAAAGGGGTAACTGAAAGAACTTCCCAAGCCCACCGCTCCAATCTGCTCCTCAGCCATCCACACATGCCTGTCTGAGACAGCATGCTGAAGGTCCCAAGACACAGAGGTAGGGCCAGACAGACATGCGGCAGTCAAGGAGTTGGTTGGCCTCCTTGCCGCAGGCACAAAGCAAAGTGCTTAGAATGTTAAGCCCACGGTAAAGAAGGGGAATGCATTTGGATATAAAAGGTTAGAGTCACTCTGGCAGAAAACAGGTTTTGTCCTCCTCAGGTAGAGACGGGCTATGTGTGTGCTGTGGAGACAGAGGAAGCAGGCCTGGCCAGCACACCTGCTCATTTCCTCTGTCTCTGGATGCCCCATCCACCAGTGTCAAAGAGGCAGACCTTCAGGAAGAGGTTTGGGCTCTGGTTCCTCTAGGCCAACCACAGTGAAGTCTTTCCTATGGGGGTTCACAAACAGAATAGATTCCCCAAGGGTACCTCCACAGCTGAGTCCCACAAGCACGGGTCCATGTCTGAGAATCTGGGTTCACCCATATTTCTCAAAAAGAGCTTCTTCAAAAACATGCTTCAAGTTTGTTCTTTGCTTTAAATGCAGAAATAGGAACACGGGCACACTGCACAGGAGGCTTTAGCTGCCCCTGACTTCTGGTGATCTTTACACTAACTGGACAGAGGCCACTTAGTTCTGCCACAGCTACCTCATCCTGTCACAACTAGCTAGGGGGCTGGGCTGGAACCTGCCCTGCTTTTCTGTAGCCTGTCAGTAAAGAAATGTCTTATTTTCAAATAGTTAAAAAAAAATTCTGTACACATGATAAGTATATGGAATTCAAATTTAAGGTATGTAAATAAAGGACAATCGGAATAGAGCTGTACTTGCTATGCACGAATGATGCATAAGATACCTGCTGTAGACTACAGCTCAGAGCCTAGCGGCCCTGAAACCCTGCAGTGACGTGCTGCAGGTCCCTAGGCAAGCACCACTGAAAAGGCAGTGCTGTAAAGAGAAACACTAAGACCCTAGATTTTAACTTCTTAGAAATATTCAACCTAAGCCTTGTCCAAAGACACATGCAAAATATCTTACAAGAAATTCCATGATTGACTCTGTCAGCAGAACTGGTCACTAAGCCTTTTCATTCTGGCCTTTACTGAAACT